GGGCTGTCCTCGGTGGCCGCCTTCCGGCTCTCTGTCGGTCCTGGCAGTTAAGACAGTACCTGTGTATTGGAGCAGCTTTCTTCTGAGCTGTGTCTCACTGCCCTAGTCTGGCAGGGGCTCTTGACAATCGCGTTACTTACCTCTCGGTCTCCATCTGGCTTGTGCAATAATGTGAGAGTGTGGCATGTTTAGGTGCCCTACTCCAAAGGGATGTCAGGAGTTCCTAAATTATTCAGATTTGGGGGGGGTCCTTCTGCGGTGGGGGGAGAGAGATGAGATGACTTGCTTTTAATCTGTCCCTTCTGTTGGAAAAATATCTTTAAGTCAACAGCTGTAGTTTGTTTAGCATTGATATTGTACCTATGTTCTCCAGAAACTGACCTGTCATATTTGCTTGTTAGAGGTTAATTATTTTATGTTGCTGTAATGTCTGTAGAGTCTTAATATAGGTTTGGGATCTCCCACTTTGCTCAGCTCCATACTTGAACAAAAAGACAGCCACCACCTTAGGGAACTTTCAGTCTAGGCCTACAAGAGGGGCAAAAGATGCATGTGGAAGTAGGAGTACAAGAAAAGTGCTGGTACTGACCATCATGCTGGGCTGTGACTGCAGTCTACAACTACACTATGGCTTGCTAGTTAAGCTGGAGACAAGTCTTCTTTTTTTTTTGTCTCCAGGCTTTGTGCCAGAAGAGTATTGTGGATAGATGCGGAAGATAATTGGAGAAACTACAGACTGCAAGCTATCATTTAGAGTCCTATTTCCTTATCCATGGCAAGTTCTGTCTGTGTTTTAAGTATTTAAACCTTTTCAAGAAGATGCTTAGTGCAAACTCTAAGTAGAAATTCTACATTTCCTTAGATAACCTGTCCAGGGCTTAGCAGCCTTAATGGTTAAAAGACTTTCCTGCTAACCACTGAAAACTGAACCTAACAGTAAATAAAAACCATTGCTGCCACGTCTACCTACTGCAGATGTAAAAGAAGGGAATGAACACCTGTTTGCCTCCTCTTCCATGTACTTGACTGCAGCTGTCATTTCTCTCCTTCCTTCTGTCAAGCTTTTCCATTTTTTTTCTAATCTCTTCTCGTATAGTCTTAGACTTCTAGAAGCAAGCTACAAGAATGATCAGATCTATCTGGATGTTTTATTTTTGTCAGGCATGGTACTAAAAACTAGATACAAACTCAAGCTGAGTTCAGCAGTACTAAATGGGGCAGAACAAACTGACTCTAAAATATATCCTGTTATGACATTCGGTTTTTATGCAACAATACAATATTGTTGACATGCATTCAAAATGTTATCCATAATGGCCTTTTATAACAACTGCAGTTGAGCCAAGTGTTCCTAGTCTTGTATTTTCTTGTGGCTGATTGTTTCTGTCTAAGAAGAATTAGAGTACCTAACTTCTTAAATTACACTACACCTTTTCATGTCACTTTTGACTCATGAAGACTATTTTGATTTCTAATCCTATCTTCCTGTGCCTTTCCAATAAGAAGGTAGCTAGATGAGTGTCTATATCAGGGCCTGTACTGGAGGAAGCAGTTGCTCATTCCTACGCTTAACAAGTAGGTAATGGGGTCTGATGTCCTGGGCTTAAGATGACATAGGAGGTGAAAATGACTCTTTAGTATGGGCTCGGCATTATAGGATGCAGGTTATAATGGACATCAATAATGTTGTGTTTGGAGAGTATCTTTTTTTAACGGCTGATTGTTTGAATGTTTTTCTTTAGTATAGTGTATCTTGCTTTCTCTGTCTGAATGGAGACATTCTTACCTTTACGCAAATATCTTTTTCCCTCTTTAATGATTGGAATGGATATTTAATCTCTAGTAATCCAAACATACTATGGAAATACAAATACTATTGTGATGAAATTAATTTGTAGTTGAATCACTAAATGTTACTCATATATAGCATTTAAATCATTTATTCAGCTATTTAATGGCTTCTATTTATTAGTTCAATACCAACATATTTGGGGAGTGTAAGTATGGTGATTTGAGAAGGCTGAATGCTCAACTTCTGAGCAGTTAAAGGATTTTTGGCCTTAACTCCCAAATGTAAATAGAGTTCAGGCCCATGGTGATTGTCATTAAATGTAGGTTTAGAGAAGTGTACTATTGAGAAATTGATGTTGCTTTTAACTGAATATACAGAAGCTACTCTTTCCTCAAGTTGCTTAGAATTACTATACAAGATTAGTTAAACATTTGCAGTGAAAAAACTCCCACTGGTAACTATGCAATGCACTTTGAACCTGAAGACAGTATGTTCTTTCCTACTGACTGGTAGGTAGTGGCTCTGGATTGTGTGTGAAAGGAGAAGTGCTGCCTTGGGCACCATGGGGAGCCTTCAGAGGAGTCTGAGGGAGAGGTGCGTTTATGTGGACTGAGGTGTGCACAGAGAATATGCAGTTTCCTGCTTCAGTCAATGCACTTGCTCATCGCATCTCTCCGCCTCCTCTGGAGGAAGAATTGAGAGGTATGGGGTAACAAGCTGTCTGGAAGACCTCAGTCAGTGTAGGCACAGCATCTCTGTTTCAGTGTCTTCCCTCATAGGCATGGTAGGGTGGAGTCAAGAACAAAACAGACCTTTGCATGGCGAAGAGGATCTAGGAGGAAGCTCTGAGGAGACCCAGGTTTTTCCTGTGGGTATCTAGCTGGGAGAGCATGGTGGGGGCCAGTGAAGCTGCATTTTCTGTTAGGAAATATTTTTGCTGGTACCTCAAACTGGACTAATGATAAGCTGCTGGGTTTTTTGATGGTGTGTTTTTTTCCTTCAGCTTGTTCCATAGCAATGTTATCTGTTGCTTTGTCATTAAGACCCTGTCATCTTTTTTGCAGGTTTCATATGAACTGTTTGCCCATCATGACTCTGCATGTCCTGTACCTAAGCTGATATGCATCTATGCACTTTAATCTCAAGTTTATGCCACTCTGCTAATAGTGTGAGCTGTGCCTTGAACCTTGGATATAAATATCTACAAGCCAAAGTCTTGTTCCTGCCTTAGTAATGTTCCAGAGGTTAAACAGCATGTTCATGGGAGAGATTGATGGCTTGTCCAGCCAGGAGCCTGAGTTCAGTGAGAAAGAAGATGAAGAATGGATTCTGGTTGATTTTATAAGTAAGATGTCTGTCAAATATAAGCTCTGCCTACTTCCTGCTGTAGTTCTATTTGTCATACTTCTATATAAAGATCCCAGTAACTCAGAAGGAACTTTAATCCACGTTGTTTTTGTTTAGGCTAAGTGTAGGGTGTTTTCCAAACAAACCTACCAAACATGTGAACTCATCAGAAAAATGATGTCATGTTTAGAAGCTTGACACTTGGGCTTCAGCAGAACCGCTTGTACAGATAAAACATTTGACTTATTACACAATTGTATTGCTTTACTGATAACAGTTGTTTTACATGTCTAACATGGGTTGTCAGGGAACTCCCTTTCCCCTCCCCTTGCTTGTGGGGGAAAAAAAAAAATTGTGTACATGCTGATAGTGGTTTATTTCTGTTTCTTTGTTTTTTTGTATCCTGTGTCTGACTACATATGACCTTGTTGTTTTCCATCGCCTGCAATCACCAACGTCCATGGCTTCCTTTCAACTGACTAATGGCCACCTCCAGCAGACACTTGCACTAATTGCTCCACGGAGGAAGCGGACATCACTGAAACATCAGCTGCAGACAGCTCACCGGTCTTCTCTTGTTTACCAGCTCCCTTGGAACACTTGCCAGAGGCTAATGAGTCCTGTTTCATCCAGTTTGATTCATGTCCAATGGAGGAGAGCTGGTTTATTACCCCTCCTCCATGTTTTACTGCAGGTGGATTAACCACTATCAAAGTGGAAACCAGTCCTATGGAGAACCTCCTGATAGAGCATCCCAGCATGTCAGTGTATGCTGTCCATAATACCTGTCACAGCCTTAATGAGACTAGCTGTGGAAATGAGGAGTTTCACAGTCCAGGTAGTCCCAGGTATGTCTGATTTCTCTTGCTGAGCAAATACTGCTTGCCAAGGAGCTCTGTCACTAAAAATATCTGGTTTCTACTTGTTTACTCAGACACTTAATACTGAATTTTCCAGCTTATTTCAGGGCAAGTGAATAAAGCATGAATACTTCATAAGTTGGGGTAAGGTGGTCAGAGCTTTATGCTGCCTTAGAGAAATGTTACACAAGATGACTGCTAGAAAACAGCTGGATGTGCTATTCTGACATTTTAATAGATACTTATGGGGCCTAATAGTGTAGCTGATAATGTAGATTTGAAAGCACTCTGGACCCTCCATAGCTACCTTTAATTTTCATAAACACTAGACTAATGAATACCCTTTTAGTTGTCTGAGGGGAAAGATATTACTTTCCCCATTCTGATGGAGTTTCAGATGAAAAACTAACCTACTGATAAGTCAGGACAGGATGGAGTTTGACGCATGTAGTTTGTAAAACAAACCAAACAAAGATTCCAGAACTTAGTGCTTACAGGGTAAAAATTAACTTTGACCTTAGTGAAAGAAGTTTGCAGAAATTATGCTGTTAAGTTTTGGGTCCTAAAGAGCCAGCTGTACGGAATGACTGCAGACTCATATTTGTCATTCACTGCTTTCTTGATGTTAAGTATATGGTATATACATTTATACAAGCATAGTATGTGTATAAATACAGGGGTCTTTGCCATCAAGACTCCACCCTTGCCCACGTATTTAAATGTTTGTGAATCCTGGTTAGTTGACTGACTTTATCTCCCTCTAGTGCTTACCCTTAGAAACAATTAAAGTTATTGTTTTCTGTATGACAAAGCTCACTGACAGTATAGCGGTGAAGCTGTTCCAGTGACTGAAGTTGTTCTCTCCCTATTGACTTCTCTAATCAGCTCCTTGCTGTATTTAAATTTGCTAGCCCAAAGAAATGAATGCTTTTCTTCTCAGAAGACGTATGCTGCTATGTAATATTGAAGCATAGTGCTGATAAAAAATCTCCTGTTTTCTAAGGTTAAAGGTCTGACTATTTGGAAAGAGCATCTTTCAGTGCTAAGCATCGAGGGTCCAGATTAACTTAGATCAGATGGAAGCTGGGAGTATGCAGCCTCTCTAAAAATGAGAGTCTGAAGGAGTCAGAACAATTACAGGCTGTTAGGTATGGCACAGTCGAGCCCAAAGATAGGCCAGTTTACACTATTGATCTCTAGTGGAGAGTAACAAGGAAAGTCATTTACTGACTTCTCTTAGTGAAATGTGAACTAGAGATGCTGGTATAGCTTGTTCTCTAGAAAAACTTTATTTTAAGCAGTGGAGTTAAGCTATCTGCATATGTTGGGAAACTAAGGGTGTGATCCTGAACTGGTATGTGGTTAAGTGTCTTCACACTTAATTCGGTGGTATTGTTGCTTCATCAGAGGATCTAGCCTTCTGTGTATGGCAGAATTGTTTTGGGTGACAAAAATGGGCATAGTTTTAAGTCTAAAGCTGAGGTAAAGTACAAAAACTGGGAAAATCAATGAGACAAATGAAGTAAATTGAAAAAGCTGTTTTGAAATCTCTAGTGGTTTAATGCTTGGCCATTTAACATTGTAGGGCCAAGAAAAGCTGCTTAAGGCACACTGGCACAGTAAGTACTACTATTTTGGGACAGTGCTTTTTGTTTGATCGGTCTGCTAGCAACACTGCTTCTGGCCTTCTATGCCAAAACAATACTGGTTTTAGGACTAACCTTTGTGCCAAATGATGTTACATGATCAAGCTTGACTACATCTGCTTTAACAAGCCAAAAATGCTAAGTGCAGAAAACCTACTTAAAGGTCAATTGAGAGGTCTGAATCCTTTAACTTCTCTTATGAGGCCTGTCTGTATAGCACAACTAGCAGGACACTTCTGCTTTTTAGCAAGAGATGCTGGGGGCACAGCAGAGAATGTATATAGCAACAGTCTCACTTTAGAGATAGCCCCTCTAAAATGACTTTCTGACCACATTGATGGAGACTAGTCAGCCCTGTTCTCTCAGCACCTGGGGTTCACCAGTGCCAGACCACCAAAAGCAACCGCTAAGATACCATAATGCCACATCTCAGAGTCCATGGCCTTCTAGCTAACTTAGACCAACTCTGCTATCTCAGCTTCCATCTTTTCTCCTTTAAGATGGAAACCGAAAATGGCAAATGAAAAGTATGACTTCACAAACAAGTGCTGGATGGGTGCTTGACAGTAAAAGGAAAATGTTAAAATATCCTTGATCAACTTTTTGAATCAGCTTTCCCTCCTACTATGGAAAAAATCTCTATTTGCTCCTTGTCAAATCCTTTCAAAGCAAAAGGATGTTGCATAAACTTCCCCACTCCTTTTAATTTAGTCATTTTTCCATAATAAGCGACCACACTGTATGAAGCTCATGAAGATCATCAACTGCTAATGATGTGAAGCAAAGGCATGCTCAGGAAATATACATTCTAACAACAAAATGGGTTGTGGCTTCCTAGTTCCTTTTGGCTTTCCTTAGTAATGTTTCATTTGGAGTTCCAGCACCAGCACTGTTGAGCATGTTAAGGAATCACTGTGTCTAGGAAACAGTAGCCTCATATTTGTAGAGACCTGCATGTAAGCTAACTGTTGTAATCTGCATAGAATAATGCTTACAAACTACTGCAAACTGATTTGGGCTAACTTGTTTACATTTGTCTCTTGCTTATTTATGGTGCAAAGTCTGAGATCCTGTCTGAGTGAACAGGAAAATTAGCATGTCATGCATGGCTATTCTTGATTCTGTGTACTTCAGACCTTTCAACTGAAGCTATCCAGGGTGATAAAAGCAAGTGGATTTTGATTCCTTAAAAAAAAAGGGAGGGGGCAAGGTTTCTTACTGATGAGGAGTTTTCCCTATACTGTGGAGCAGAAAGGGGCAAAGGTGCTCACTCCTGTGCTGGTCACATGTGTGACCAGCCCTTTCTTCCTGGGAGCAAGGCTGAGAAGACATACTGGGGCATGGCAGGCCAAACTCTTATTATAGCCTTTCTAAGACCCCACGGAGACTTTATCTGGTTTAACCTTATTGTGTGAAGTCTCCTGTCCTTTGTCAGAGGCATGAAAGTGCTGAAAACAGACTTCCCAGGAAACTTGCTCATGCTTGAGCAAGTGCCTGGGTCTTGCAGCCATCTTTCCTTGGCATCAGAGTTGCAGTCCAGTAGCTGGTCCCTAGAGGAGGGAGGAAGAAATCAGCTGCTGTGCTGGTGGTCTCATGACTAATGTGGCATGCAGACTTGGGATTTGCTTTATCTTTCAAATCTGCCAAGCTATTTCTGTCTTCACTTTGAAAGCTTCAGGAAACACCAGTGATTGTTCTGTGGAGTAGGGAAGTCCTTTTTTAACATGTTGCTCCTTGCTTGCACAGGTTGCTATTTTGTTTACTAGTGCATGATGGAGCAGGGATTTGCCAAAACTGCTGACTCTGCTCGTGAAATCAAGAGGTCTGGTTAACGAAAGATCCTTTTAAGTTATTTCCAGGGTGTCACCACTGGTCTATTTTTCCCATTCCTGTGCAAGAACATCGTTTGGATTTACTTGCATGGCTAGCAATCCAAACAAACATCTTTGCTAATGCACTTCCTGTTTTCAGTCTGAGTGACTGATGTCCAAGGTGGTTTTTAAACCAAACTGTCTAGTGAATAAATTTAAGTCTTCTAAAAGCCAATTGTGTGATAATGACATCTGATTTCTGATGCCTGTTACATTTTGGGGCTTGCGGGGGAGGAAGGGCACAATAGCATAATACACTGGATGTGCAAGGGCTGTTGTGTTGCCTTTAACAGGAAAAAGTGAGCTAGCAGAAGTATGCATGGCTTATCAACATATTTTTTCTAAACTGATTTGGCTTAACTTCAGCCCAAGTCTTTGTCCAGAGTAGCAGTATAAGGTGCCCTTTTGAAATGCTGGATGTCAACATTAATATTCTCATGCCCTCTTTATAACTTATTTCTTTTTTTTAAGCTGACTGGTATGTGCTTGTTACATTTTAGAATGGAGGCCCGAAATGAAATGGGACAGCATGTTCACTGCTATGTTGCAGCTCTTGCTACTCGTTCAAGTTTTCTGGAAAAAAATAAGAGCTTTCGTCCTTCCCACTGGATAAAGGAACATAATGAAAGACACTGTCTCAACAGAAACAGTTTCCGTCGCCATAATCTCACCAGGGATTGCCACTCTCGGCAAATCAAGCACAATGGACTGTTTGTTCACCAGCCTTGCCAGCGTCAGTTCAATTACTGATGGCTCTCATGGTTTTAATCTATGGTTTAATTTTTTTAGGTTGCTCTTGTTTTTGTGCGTAGATAAGTGTGGTCGATCTGAAGCTGATCATCAGTTCCTCAAACACAATCAGAACTAGTGTTACACTTGTTCAAAACAACACCTACATTGTGCTGTACGTCCTAAATGGTGATGTTAAATGTCAATGTCTTGGAAGCCTATCAGTACAATTTGTGTGTTGTTTTATAAACTATGATGTATAGATGGGTTTTAGCTGGTATTTTAAAGAAACTTTTAACAGATGGAAAATCAGTTACACTTTGCATTAATCAAAAGGAGTTAGAAAATTTGAGGTTAGCCGTATGCTTTAATGACCATACTTGACAGCTTGTCTATCTATATTTAGCATATTATTCACTCTGAGAAAATACTATAGCTGCCAATGGATGTTACATAGCTATGCTGAGCTGTTACAAGAAGGACATCTAATCTACATTGCCTAGTACCCACTTGTGTTAAAAGTGGAGTCAGTAGGTGTGTTGGATACTTCATATGGGTATCAGAAAAGGGTTAAATGTCCCCCAATATTTCTGCAGTACAACATGACATTGGTGTTACAGATGTAGTACCTCACAGTGGAGTGAAAGGAAAAATAGACCTATGGGTTAAGTCTCTCTGTAATCCAGAGAGACAAACTGTATTTTATCTGGTACAGTTCGAGTTCTTTTAATGCCTCTTTTCCTCTCCATCTTTGAAAAAAGATTTAAAAAAACCTACAATGTTCTGTTTAATCTCTAGTCCAGTTAAGGAAGAAAGGGATGGATCAACTGTTTTTAATCCTGTTAGTAGCTGACCACTCTTTAAAGAAGTTTAACAGATGGATGGCTACTTCTGAGCTGCTAACTGCTGTTAGATTGTCATCTTTTTCCAGGCTGAGAGTTGCTCACTAGAAGGAAGACTATCAGAAGTTCTCCTAATTCTGTCTCAGCTAAAATAATGAAGTCTGAGTTAAGTTACTGGGAATAAAGGGCAGTCAGTGGCAGGGAAAAGCATACTGAAAAACAGTCTTAGAGGACTAAATGCAGTGATACCTGAATTTTTATACATGCTGTTATATCAGCAGTAGTTGTTTTCCTGTTCAGTCTCGGGAGTTTGGGGATGGGGGAGGGATTGAATAGAAATTCTGTAGGCCAATAGGAAAGAAGCTTTTTTCTTAATACTGTGCAAGATCTTTTTGAAGTAGGCAGGTGCTCAGAAGGTAAAATTTCAGCAGTTAACAAAGAGTGCATATATTATGAAGCAGCTTCATGATATACTGAACCCTGATGGATCGATCAGGGAACTAGATTAAACGGTTACAGAGGGAAGGAAGCAGAAAGATAGCCACAGAAGAAAGGTGGTGGTGGTGGGGAAATAAGTATGTTTATTCAGTTTCCCTTTCTATCCATGCTTAACATATGACTTACTGTTTTCCTGCATTTAGTTCCTAGAGTGTTAAAGTATTATTACATTCAACCATGTCTTCCAGTAGTCCTTATACAGAAGCTGGTATAAGGAGTCAGGTAGGAAGCCTTTGAAATTGGGCAAGATCAATAATTATTCTAGATGTATGATATGTTTCTCAATTTGGTCAAATGTTTTAATTTCACTGAAGCAAAAGCCCAGCAACTGTGAATTAATCTTGATGTAGGTAGCTTTGCACATACTGCACCTGGAATCCTTGTGGAGCATACTTAATGTACAGAAAATAGCACTTACATCCCTGCAGATGCGCTACCTTCCTGGGTTTAGATAGGATTATGGCAAATGGATGTTGACATAGTTAATGTGTAAGACCAAGTGGTGCTTTCCTGGGCACAATAGTCTTTTTTTTTAAAGACCTGTTGAATGCAGACTCATGTGGACAGTGAAAGAAAACAAAATTGGCTTAACTGAGTTTCCAAAATAGGGATTTTGTTGATATTCTTTTCAGCAGCAGGTACCTGTGTTCATACAGCAATTCTTCTGTGGTCCAAATACTCTGGCTCATTTATCTGCAAGTAGCTGTAGTTTCACCAGTCCTTCATCCATTCACCAATGCGAATACTTTTACTTGCCTCAGATTATCTTCCTTTATCACTCCAACTTTTTGTCCAACTTAAATTTCTTTCTCCTCACTGCCAACTTTCTAGCTCAGGAAAATTCTATACTCTCCTGTTTTATTTTTCTTATATAAGTAGCTACTTTCCTTCAGCTTTAGTTTTCTTAAAGTTAAATGAAGGAAGATGGAAGCTCTACCTCCCTGTATTGGAAGGAATAAGTAATCTTTTAACTTTTAATGGGGAGATGGAGCTGAGAGTATGAGGCTCCCAGGTATTAAAATGAGAGTCTTGGTCTGTGTGTGTTTTTGTTTTTTTTAAGTAGGCAAGTAAATGCAACTTTAGACTGCTCCTAGAATTGGGAGTTACTGATCTTTTTATACTGCATTACTAGATAACTTTCTGGTGATGAAAGCCTATATCTTTCAGGATATAAACTGCTTTGTTGCACAAAGCTGTGCTTCTCAATTTGTAATATTGGAAACCATATTACTGTGTGAGATAGAGTACTGCATCAATGGCTTTTTGTTAATTTGTTTTGGATATTTATGTTGGTCTAGCCCCACTTTGTGCCTGGAGCTGTTGGGCGATTAGATTTGTTTCGGTTTTCTGTGTTAATAGTGAGCTGTGTGGCTTTTTGTATGGTTTTGAATTGTATTAAGATGTATTTGTTTTTTCTCTTGTAAAAGTGGAGGCCTTGCACTGTCTCAGATACTGATTGATACTCATGAATCTTGCTGAAACTGTGTTTTCATATGTATTGGTCAATGGACAGATTTGCATTTTAAACAAAACTGTGCCTTCTAGGTGTAACTTTACACAGCAAACTTGAAGATTCAAAAGGGACGTTTCAGTTAGGATTAATACTGTACATTCAGACTATGCATATATGGCAGCTTCTTTTCAGAGCCACTTCTCTATTTGTAGTAGTTCTTTTGATATGGAAGAATACCTGGCTCTTACTTTTAATAGTTTAATACAAGCTGAGAAATGACAAAATACAGCACTTTGCCAAAAAGTAGCATTGTTTAACCAGTGTGTATTCACTAAAGTGATCTTCTGTATTTTGTTTTCATGGTGCATCACGCACACCATGGGGAATCATTATGATCTTAACTCTCAATAAAAATGGCCTATTTAAAAACTGAATCTGTTCTTTTTATTAGAGGTATGGTAAATGCCAAATGTCTGAGAAGACCTTGGGTGTGGTATAAAGAAGATTCAACTGCAAAGGTCCATGTGTATTTCAGAATTCCTGCTCTATTATGGGAGGACCTCTGCAATAATCTCTTCCTTGGGTATTGTCACCGGATTTATTTTTAATCTGACTTCCCTGTTAGAGTGAAAGAACTAGCAAAGGATAAGCAGAATCCTAACTAACTTTAAACGTAGGTTCCTCTGGGAATTTTGCATTACTTGATCAAGTGACTATTCATATTCAAAGGAATGTTGCACATCCTGTAATCTCTTCTCTGTTGCCAACTGCTCCATTTTCTGATTAACATACAGAAGTGCAGTACATGAACAGGACAGATAAAGTTTATTACTGCTTTTTAAGTGTGGACAGAGGGAGCTGAAGCTAACATGGAATTGCCATGGAAGGGGAATAATGAAATTACAAAAAAGGACCCTTCCTCATAAGGATTTGTGGAAAATACAGCTTCCTTGCAGTGACTGCCTTGACTGGTCTTCATCTTCAATGAAATGACTGCTAGTCGCACACCAGTGATAAGAGTGGCTGCTTAACTATATTTTTCAACCCCAAGCATCTGGATAGTGTCCTTAGCTGCCGCACAGGCTAGACATAACAGATGGTGGACTCGGCAGTAATGGGGAGTCTAACACTGCCTGATCACTTTACACTGCTCGCTCTGTGGCCACTAATAGATGCTGTTGCCCAAGCAGCATCAAGACCAATTACACAGGCTTGGTCTTCACTGAGATATTAAATTGCATGTTCATAGCATGTTGCTATGAACTCAGCTACCCTCCACATACACAAAAATCTAATTCAAGTGTGATGGGGCTTCTACCTTAACATAGCTTGTGAATCATAATAATTTGGGTTGGAAGGGACCTTGGGAGATCTCTAGACCAACCTCCTGCAACTGCACATCCTCTGGGCAACGTATTCTAACACGTGACTGTCACGGGGGGGAAAAAAGTTTTCCTTATATCTGGTCTGAACCTCTCTTGTTTCAACTCACACCCATTGCCCTTCACAGTGGTGCACTGCAGGAGGATGGAGAATCTGTCTCCATTTTGGCAGCTTCTCATAGGTACGGAAAGGCTGCTGTGAGCATAGGAGAGGTGGAAACAGGTGAGCCAGATGGAGTGACAGACCCTGTCTGAGGGTGCAGGATGGTGTTAGGAAAGTCAAAGCCTGCCTGGAGTTGGATCTGGCAAGGGACAAGTAGGGCAAGAGAAGCTTCTACAGGTATATCACCTGCAAAAGAAAAACTAAGGAAAATGTGAGCCTACTGCTGAACTGGGCAGGGGATCTGGTGACAAAGGACATGGAGAAGGCTGAGGTACTCGCTCCATGCTGCCTTTGCTGTGGTCTTTACTGGTAAGACTAGCCTTCAGGAATCCTCAGGCCTGGACCATTGATGACTCCTCTTTAGCAGAGGAGGAGCAGGTTAAGGAACGCTGAAAGAAACTGGACATATACAAGTCCATGGGACCTGATGGCGTGCATCTGTGACTGTGAAGGAACTGACTGATGTTACTGTAGTGCTGCTCTTGATTATCACTTGAATGTTATGGTGGTCAGCAGAGGTTCCTGAGAACTGGAAGAAAGCAAATGTCACTCCTATCTTCAAGAAGGAGGACCCAGGGAACTGCAGGCCAGTCAGCCTCACCTTGATTTCTGGGAAGGTGATGAAACAAATAATCCTGGAAGCTGCTTCCAAACATACAAAGGCCAAAAAGGTGATTGGAAGTAGTCAGCATGGGTTTACAAAGGGGAAAAATCATGCCTAACCATCCTGATAGCCTTCTATGATGAGCTGACTGGCTTGGTGGACAGGGGGAGAGCCGTGGATGTCATTTATTTTCGCTTTGGCTAGACTTTCAACACCATCTCCCATAACATCCTTGAAAACTGATGAAAAACGGACTACATAAGTAGGCCATGAGGTGGACCGGAAACTGGCTGAACTGCTGCTGTCAGATGCTTGTGATCAGCAGCATGAAATACAGCTGGAGGCCAGTCACTACTGGTGTGCCCCAGGAGCCAATACTGGGTCCAATATTGTCTAACATCTTCATTAAGGACCTATATGAAAGGACAGAGCACACCCTCAGCAAGTTTGCTGATGATACAAAATTGGGAGGAGTGGTTGATATGCCAGATGGTTGTGATGTCATTCAGAGGGACCCCAGCAGGCTGGAGAAATGGGCCAACAGGAATCTCATGAAATTCAAAAAAAGGAAGTGCAAAGTCTTGCAGCTGGGGAGAAATAACCCAGCTTTATAGAGATGGACCTGAGAGTCCTGGTGGACGAGTTGATGAGTCAGCACTGTGCCCTTGTGGCCAAGAAGGCCAATGGCATCCTGGGCTGCATTAGGCAGAACACCGCCAGAGGTGATCCTTCCCCTCTGCTCAGCCTTGATGAGACACATCTGCAGCCCTGGGTCCAGAGCTGGGCTCCCCAGTAGGAGAGACATGGAGCTACTGGAGCGAGTCCAGCAAGCACCACAAAAATGATGAAGGCATTGGAGCATCTCTCACATGAGGAGCTGCTGCAAGAGCTGGGACTGTTCAGCTTGGAGAAGAGAAAACTGAGGGGGGGACCTGATCCATATATATAAATATTTAAAGGGAGGTTATCGAAGGATGGTGCCAGACTCTTCTCAGTGGTGCCCAGTCATAGGATGAGAGGCAACAAGCAGAAACTTATACACAGGAAGTTCCACTTGAACATAAAATGCGCTCTCATTATTTAAAAAAAAAAAAAAAAAGGGTTGGCGGGGAGGGAGGCTCATTGGCCTTTAGTTCTCTGGCCTGTTCTTTTTCCTTTTTTGAAGGTGGGTAAATGGAAGCAGTGCTAGTACGAACAAACCACTTTATTTCTTTGGCTGTTCTCACTTACCAGCTTGTATTATCTGTAGGTATGTGTTTCTCCTGAGTTGATCTTTTCCAAAGAAGATCTGTGGATCACTGGATTTTTGTGTGCTTTTTTTTTCATTACCTGTGGTAGTCTGAAACCTGCTCTTCATTCTGTAATTCCTGATAGCTATGTTTTTTCCACTCGTTTTGATCATGTATGTTAACTTCAAGGAGCCCAGATCCATCACTGCCAGCTGACAAATTCTAAAATTTGAAAAAACTGGGAGACAAAATGATCTGTTTAACTGCTGCTGCTGAATCAGAATTTGCAGAACGCAACATCTATCTTCTCAGAGCAAACGCTGAGTAAAAACTTTCATTTTCAAATGCTGGTGATGTGATCTGTATGCTTATCGAAGCAGTGAGTTTATACTAAGAGCTGTAGTTTTCTACACAAGAAGGTTTGACCAGTACACTTGTATAATCATATCCGTACAGATAAGCTAACATACTGATCGTGTTCCTCTTGGTGCTGACTCCAGACTCAATGTAGCTTTTTAAATTTAGGTTGGACGCTTTTCATAACATTGTGAATTTTTTTTTAAGCGTTTCGTGGCAAAACAAAAATATTCATGTAAAGAGTCATATCAATAAAAACTGCGTTAACTTAAATTCTCACTTCACAGACTAGCTCTCCTGTTTATCTAAATCCTTGTGCATCTCTAATGATACTAGCATGCTAATTACCACTCTTGGAGACCTACCCCTGTGCTGGAAGCACTCTGTTTCCTTGTCGAGCTGTCAGTATATGCTTTCTTTGTCTCGCTGACTTCTTTAGGTGCATATTTATAACCACAAAATGCTCTCACCTCCATCATTCAGTGACACAGATGCAAGTAGGCTTTGGTCTTTTTAACACATGCATAAATGACTCATCAGAAGAACAGACTCGTGCTGCTACAGCACAGTTGTTCCCATGACGCAGTCACAGTAGATCAGTTTTTTAGAACAAATGGGACTGGGCTGGGGCTTAACGGTGTGTAGTGAAGTTTTGTTTCTCAGTCAGCCTTTTTCTTCATGAAAATGCCATCTGCCTGTCTTGGAGCTACTGCTGTAAAACTAATATGTCACAAATTGAATCTCTTGACTTGTTCCCAAGTTTTGTATGCAGATAGTTGAACTCTCAAACACCTTAGTGAGTCAGATAGCTGCATTGTAATTTACGGGTGAGCAAAAGAAAAAAAAACAGCAAAAAATAAGTAAGAGTAACAAAAACAGGCAAGAGGCTAGGAGCAGACTTCAGATCTCAGCTTGCAAACACATGTTGTGCCATAAACCTGCACTTCCTCCTGAAGTGCAGCCTTCACAATGCTACGTACAAGTGAAAGCTGACCCTGTCAAGCAGTATAATACAAAATATCATTATGCACAAAAATCAGCCTTGCTGAGTACTAAAGCAATCCTATATTCCCTGAAATGGGAGACCACGGAGAATGAACAGAGAGCAGGGAATGGGGGGGGCCATGAGCATTAGAGGCATAGGGGTAATGGCCATTGACTATC